TTGAGAAGTAAATTGCGTTCCATTGTCACTAACTATGATTTCGGGTAAACCATACCGTGCAAATGTCTCTCTTAAATGCTCTATTGTGTTAGAAGAATCTGTTTTAATCATGTTAAAAACTTCAGGCCATTTAGAATATGCATCCGTTATTATTAAAAATGTCTTATTTTTAATCTTTCCTGATAAATGGTCCATTCACCATTAGTATGGAATTCTGGAATCCAATATTTCCATAAAGTCTCACCATTTGAGTAGCTCCTTGAGCCGGTGGCGTTGTATTTGTTGGATTGTTCGGTGACATCTCCTTGATTATCTTGAACTTAATGTTAACCAACCAGGCACGGCACTAGCAATTTTTTCTAGGGGGGGCAGAGCGGGGCAAATATTTTTATTCCATGGGCTAAAGTGTTTCAGAAAGTACTCGGACCATTTAAATAAAATATAAATAAATAGTATGTACAAAGTTTTAAATAGTTAAAATTTGTTGAAGAATACTGTCAAATATTTCTATCTAATATAAGAAAATGTATAATAACAGACAAGTTTCTTTAATTTTACATACCTTAGTGACTGAATGATTAAGCTTCTTTAACTTATATTTTATAAATATAAATTAAAATAATTGTATTTAGTATTGAACAGATGAATTGATTTAACTCAAATTTAACCTTTGTTTCTTTATTTTCATCCAATAATTAGTACTCAATAAATGTAATAATAAATGAATAAAATATTTTTTCTCACTTTACAAATGAAAATATTAGAAATATATTAAAATATATTTGATTGAAATTTTAGGAAATAATTTTTCTCATTAGGCAATACTATAAGGTTTATCTATAAAAAACTAAAAATGTTATTCTATCTGAATGTTGTTCATTCATCATGAAAATGTTATTAATTTCATTAATTCAATGACTATGATTAATAATACACTCAATTAATTTTTGAATTTATTGAGTAGTAGCAAATATATCAAATAAACTAAATTTTGATATTTCACACTATACCTAATAATGCACCATGTTGTAAATGGTTGAAAATCTTGTACCAATACCAGCAAAAATAATATTTTTAAAATAAAAACTGGTGATAACCTACCAAATATTTAATAAGTAGATTTC